GAATACCAGTCAACCACAACTGTGAACAAATTTTGGATGACTACTGGGTATGGCAAAGGAATCCTGAAGACTTGCATCTGGAATACCTGGCCAACACACCAGTTTCTGACTTTGAAGCAGATGATGAAGATCCTGCAGTCTTCAAGTCAGTCTTCTCAAAAGACACAGAAGATCAAGTGGTTTTCACTTCTGAAGCACAAGGTGTTTTGGAAGCAGCAGCTGAAGATTTCCAAACACTTCCGGAAACCTCACATGTTTCTGAAATGGTTCTAACTGAAGTTGTAGAAGAGAAGGCAACCTCACCCCCACAAGAACAGAACCAGGAAACAGCAGAAGAAGAAGAATTACAGCCACTAATCCGATCTCAAGTTTTGGAGATTCTCACCACTCCTTGTGAGATCTCCAATCCTACTGAAATTGAGATCTCGGAGAAGTCAGCAGAAATTCCGGAACAGTCAGCTCTTCCAGAAACAATGGAGCAAGCTGTTGAAGCACAAAGGAATTCTGGAGAAGCTGAAAAGGAAACTCAAATGGCGGAACTAGAGGTCTCTCAAACTCCAGTAGCCATTTTTGAAGAAGAGAATACAGCTGAAGAAAGAGACTCCATCTCTAGGGATATATCAAATTTTGCGCTTGATGAAGCAGAAGGAGAGTCTGAAAGAACACTGAAGGTTACTGATGAAGAAAATGTACAAGAAGATGCTGAATCTCTTCCTCTGCAACTCTTCCAAAGAACACCACCATCTCATCAGGTAATCAATTTTCATTTCCATAGCTCTTCCACCCCTACTCTTCCGGATGAAATACCGGAAATCTGGACAAAGAAGGTCCAAGGGCTGATTGAATCAGCCCTAGCATCTCAACATGCCTCCTTTAGGCAAGAGATAGAGCAAATGGAAGTCAGGCACACCCAGCTGATAGAGAAATCTGAAGGAAAACACAGCGCAGATCTCAAAGAAATAAGCAAATCAGTGCAGAAGACTCTGGAGATTATCTCTCTATTGAGTGAAACTGTGAGCAACACGATGGAAATATATGCCTCTGACAGTCAACTTCAACTCAAAGAAATCAACAAAGTCAAAGAGCAAATAGCGAATGTCACAGTTAGTCTCCAAAAACAGATGTCCCTTCTCCAAATGGACATCAGATCAGCCCTAGCTGTAGCTTCTGCAAATCAGGTAGTGACCAAAGACTACTTGAAGGTGATCATTGACAATCAAAAGGAAGCATACAAGCTGTTCAGACTTATTGGCGCAAATTCTGGAAACCGCAAGATGGAAGTAATTCTCCAACAACACAGTCCATCTCCAATACCACAGCTCCCTATTGCAGTCAAAGAAGGAGAAGTATCTTATATTCCTTCTCATCTGAACTTGACAAATCTAATCCTTGAAGCACAGCAAAGAAATCCGGAAAACTCAGCACAGCTTCTATC